TACGTGGGAAGATCCCGCAATCAGGGTAGACATCATTGTTTTGAATTATATACTTTCACCAACAAAGCTAGTTCTGTTCCTTAGTATTAAAAAGGTTTGAAATCAGGAATCCAAGACCAACAAAGATCCACATAAATCATTTGATATGGAGTCCTATTTGCTTTATGGCACGTCTATGGACATCACAGCATAAAAAAAAAATACCTATATGAACATGCCGAGGAAAATAACCATCAATAATTAAAATTTGTACCTTTCTATCCCAATTGAATAGATATGAAGAGAATACAATTAAAATAACAGCTAGATTTTTGTTTGCGCGTTCACTGACAAAGCTCTGTGAGGGAATGGTGAAAGTCGTGAGAACCCGCGCGCATATCTTAGCATCCGGGGGCCGAATGCCCAAAAATCATATCAATTTACAGAGAGATCTTCGAGAATTGCTTTTATCTCACGGATAAGAAATTTTGGGATTCAGGAACTTAATTGCTAGCATGGGTCTGCCGTGTCAGATGTTTTACATAAATTAATTTAAGGATGTATAAATTAAATATTTTTGAATGGAACATTGAAACAATGGGGAACTGTTATTAATTATTTTAGACACAGTATTTATCATGCATACTTTGCAAGCACATAATTTTTACTTCAAAGAGAGATTGATGGCTTTAAATAATGAGAAAAACAATTAGATTTTTACTAGACTTGAATATATATTTCATTTCTTATTAATTAGAATGTAAATTGACCTTTGCTTCAATGGGGACAATCTAACTGATCATGCCCCTCTCGCCCACTTCCTCTTCAATTTCTCTATTAATCATACAACAAATATTTGAAACTTTACACATAGCTTATTGTGCATGTGCCGTCAATAAATCTGAGTGATGTGACATATCAGTACATTGTGACTCTGTCGCCCGATTGGCGCTGTAGTAATAGTGTTTGCTCTAGAGCTGCAGATGAAGGAGTTGCTCCTTAATTTCTTTGGTTCGAATCCTACTGCGGGACTGAGTCCGGTCCTTCGGATGAGACCGTATAAACCGAAGTCCCGTCTCGCAGTGGGTGCTAGCACAAAAAAAGATCCCACTCTGTTCAAAGGCCGTAAGTGCCGAGTACAAGTCTTTTGCAGCCCTCCAACGGCAAGTGGTGGCGTCTTAATATGAGTGAAAAATTCTCGGAGGGACCTTAAACAAACAAACAAAAAACATTGTGAACCCAGTTTAGATATAACTATAAGCTATGAACATAAGTACACCAGATTAGCATGGAGGGTTATCTAAGCTATATTATAAACACACATTTGCTGTGATACATGTATCACATTGCCTTGTTATTCATGTGCTACTATATATTGTTGCGCATAAATCGCTTCGGTGCATGCAATTAGAGTAATTATTGTTAACTTTTTATTTCATAAATCCCTAATTTTCCTGCAAAATGCTTTAAACAATCCTATTACTAGTACATAGAATATTTCATGATAATTGTAACTTACGCACACACCTGAGCATATTTTCCACTCTTTATCGTTATTTTTATTTACGTAAAGCTTCCAAGCAACATTCAGTTAAAAAACATGCTCCTCATATAGATTTGAAGAAAAAATCTTAATGATTAAATATTCTTATTTATCACCTGCTCTAGCTTCTTATATACATGTGTTGTAAATTTATATATTAACACTTCATTCTATTTTTATATAATAAAACAGATAAACGCTTCACTTTTTGGGATATCAGTCTTTGCTTGTGTAATTTCCGTGTTTAAACAGAACGAAACACTTTTTGTTTAAACTGTTCCTGAGGCATACATTCAACGAGAAGGATGTACTTTTTAATGATCCAGTTGTTAGTCGCCGTAAGCTTGAGTAAGGGTGATTTAAGGAGATATTTTGCTAGCATTATTTGCACAAAAGTTAAATTGTTGACTAAGATCTTTTTGTGGATTTTTCAGATTATGGACTGGTTTCTTTTGATACTGTGAAATATCTTGATACAAACCAAGGTCAGATAACCTCACCTGGATACCCCGGCAATTATCCAAACAATGTAAACTATACATGGGTAATAAGGACTGGACACAATTCTACTTACCTAACTTTTATAATACATGACATGGATCTTCCCTGTGGAGACTATTTCAAGGTAGCATTTAATTGTCTCAAAAATAGATAAAGGAATTTTATGCCAAGGACTTTGATATAATCCAAAAGATAACAAAGGGGTTAAAATCTCTCTCTCTCTCTCTCTCTCTCTCTCTCTCTCTCTCTCTCTCTCTCTCTCTCATGTATTATTGTGTCTGAGTGTGCTAATCAAAATTGCATGTTTTTCTTTGGTTTTCTGGGGGTTTATTTTGCAGATTAAGGAAGTCGACCCATGCTGCCATACTGCATTTTACAGATGTGGTATATTACAGGAAATGACCGTTTACGCAAGAGGGAAGCAAATTAGTATATATTTCATATCCGACAATAAACTGAGAGCAAGAGGCTTCAATCTTTCTTGGACAGGTACCATTCTTTACATATTACATGTGTTACATGTAGCATTGCTATTACAACCCTGTCAACATGCATGATTAATCTTGAAATATTTCAAAATGTTATTTATGCTTGAAGAGAAAGTCGATGTGGATCAGTGCCACGAAGTACTTCTTAATTGAAACAGTCATTTTGCAATGCATATGCATGATCAGATGCCTCCTTCCCCTGGTTTATGGTGGAATTTCCCTCTGATAAGAGAGATAACTTCCCAACGAAATAATTCCAATCTGTCCGGTGAATTGTTGTACCAGAGCTTAATAATAAGAACCATTTTATAGTCAATTCACTCCAGCCTGATTTATTTTGCAAATATTGACTTCTATTTTCTTTTGCCAATATTTTTGATAATTGTTTATAATTTGGCCTAAAACATTTACTGATAAGATTGAGATTTTTCTATCCCTTAATAAACAATTTTTAAAATGCTACAGTAATTTATCATGTACCAGAGGTAGAATTTTCATTATTTTACATTTTCCCCTTTAAAAATTTTTTGAAGAAAGATAACTCTTGTAGATGGAAAGATAACTCTTGTGTACGGATGCATTTTTTCAAGCACAGATAACATTGTGATATTCTGATCTGAAAAGCAACGCTTTGTTATGTTTTCTGATATGAATTTAATATGTATGACATTAAATATTATTCTCATATTTTATAATTTATATTGAAATAATAAATTATTGATCTTTCTATTCATTGTCTCAAATTTTCTTCATACCATGATAAGATTTAATATTCATATCTGAAAAGTAAGCAACGCTTCATACTTCAAACGATGTGGAGAGGGCTTATATATGCTATGCCTGCTGCCCAATCCATTTATGTTTCAGCACATAATAAAATATGTTCAAATCAAATCATACTTCAAACTATTTTCAATTTGAATCTAATATTATTGTTGTTGATGAAAATCAATGTTGGGAATTTTTTTTTTAAAAAGAATGGTGAAATTTAGAGCAGAGGGTTATTTCACCTTAAGACATTTAGGCTATATGACAACAAATGAACAGACCTTGGCAAAGAAATCAGTTTCCCTTTCTATTGCAGACAGCAAATGTTGGTAGCTAGTTGGTCTATGAAATTTTTTTTTACCTTATGTTGGATGCTAAACGTTAATATGACATTTATGAACATTAACTTTGGCATATTTTCGCATGCATGTGTACTTTCGATCATTTAATCATAATCGTCACTGTTAATTTCTAGAAAGTACAAAACTAACAACAAAAGAAAGCCCTAATATTACGAAGATCCAGGCACCTGCAAGCAAACCCATCATCCAAAAATCAACAACATTAGACATAACTTTCAAATATGATGCTACAAACGTAACATTTCTAGAATTTCAAAGTTCTTCAGGTAGGCAAAAACATGTACCATTTAAGGTACTCCCACCCTCACAATTTTATGGGTTCAAAGTAGAAGAAAGGCAATTATTTTCACTGTATATAATTTAAATTAATTAATTATCGCAAAATATGTATAGGTTACCATATTTTTAAGATGTCAGATATATATATACAAAAGTATATGCTAGCATTAAAACATCATACATTTTTAGTCAACAGTATTGTTAAAATTATGTAAAACTTGTTCAAATACATAATTCTGATACTGAAAGTTCCAATATTATTGTTACTTTATAAATATGTTTGAATTGTGAATATCAGAAAAAAAACAATTTTACATTAGAAGTACAATAAAGAAAATGCTTAGATGAAGAAACATGAGAAGGAGTTATTGCCTTTGCACCGCATTTTAAAGGATTAAGTAATTGATTAAATAAAGAAAATGTTCAATTTTGAATTCTTTTTCTAAACAATATTTTTCATTACACCTATTGAAAAGCATTCATCAAAAAGACATAATTCTTTTGGGTATGAATTTAATTTAATAGCAGTTTTTGCAAAAACCTATACCATAACAGGAGGGTGGAAATACCTTACGATAGATTCCTACTCGAATGACGTCATCATTAGAACATGTAGTAATTTTTACAATGAATCGAAAATTTATAATGATCATAATCATAGAGTAATAGAAGTATTTTAGTTCTTGTTGTAATAACCAGTTCACATTAGTAGCATGTATAAAAGGGGCTTTATTCAACTACATTTACAAAACAAAATGTTGTTTTTATACATACATCGTAGAATATACATGTAATGAGATTCTGTTTAGAAAAGTAACCAGGGAAGACATGCATTTCATGGACCTTTTAACTACCTAAGATGTTATTCTAATTATTCCAAGAAAGAAAACATTGCATTAACCGAAATGTCGAGTAGGGATCTACCTTAAGTTTGAAACTGATTAAGTTTTTACATGAATTATTTTTATAATAGAAATTAAACCACGTGCAATTTTTACTTTCTTAAATTGAAATTTCAAAAGAAAAATGTTCATATGAATTCATGTTTTTATCCAATATTTCCTACTAATACCCCTCCAATTACTCTTAAAGGCATAGGTAAGAATTTACTCTTTATAAAATTATGATAATTGTTCATCGCATTTTCTTAACTATATGTTTATATTTCAATAACATGAGACGGAAAGAAATACAATGCATGAGCTTTCAAACTCAATTAAATTAAAGAAAATAACAATTAATTCTATATGACATTTCATGAATTTTTAGGTTACATGATTATTGGAATATGCGTTTTTGAAGCCCTGTTGATTATTATTGGAGTGATTATTGTGAAGCGATTTCGATCACGGTAAAATCATTCTTAACTACTTAATTGTGTTTCATTTTGATAAAATTGACTATTGCATACTTACTAACAAATAAAACATTTATTTTTCATCATGTTAAAGAAATTTCATTAGTTTTGCAAATGTATTCAGCTTTCTAAAATATTTTAGGATATTCCTAATGTTTTAAAACTCCTTTGTCTCAAATGCAGTGCATCAAAAGATCGGATTCCTCGAAAAAGACTGGCTGATACTGATGGGTTAGTTACCCCCTCGACAGACAAAGGAGCTGAAATTGCTTACGAATTGATGCCTCTGGAATGTGTCTTGCCAAGTAACGTCAACGAAAATGTCAAAGATGTGTACGCAGAATGTCCTGATAATGTTTATGACAGTACATTGATCCGTAGACCTTATGTCTTCCAACAAAATAATATTTACCAGACTAATGAAGGCAACTACAACGCAAGTTTTTCAAAACGAGATCGTGACATTAACAACGATTCAAATCTATATCAATCCTGTGATTAAACAACATCCCATAAAAAAGAAAGAAATACAAAATAATGAACAAAACATATTCATGCTTTGTATAGATGTAACGAAACAAGGTTATGAGTTATCATAGTGTTTTAACGAAGATTGTGGAGAATTATAAGTACCAAGCGAGAAAAACAGCATGAAATTTCCATGTTCATGTTTTGTTCTTTCGAGATTTTGGGAGGATAACGGATTAAATGCAGTCGCCTATGTACAAACTGTACTTGCATTTTAAAGTCATGTCTTATATATATGGTTTGATGCTATTGATGTTTGAAAAGTTTAGAGATTTTTAATTTTCCTAATGTTCTTCAGAGGTTTTCAGAATCCATACTTGATTTACACCACTTCTTGAACATGTTGTAGCACAATACGTCTGAAGTTTGTCCTTCACACCAGTTAATATTTTGGTGAGGAGTAAGGATGGGGGCTTGGTTATAAGAATAGTATAATCCTTAACTTAAGAAATGAATTTGATTTTGAGAATTCATGAGGACATGAACTACGACGCTTTACGCAGGCATATTTTAAGAAGCGCGTTATATGCAGGTGTGAAGCGTTGTAGTTCATGTACCTCATGAATTCTCAAAAATTAAATTCATGTCTTATATTTATATCATTTTTCTGATAACTTGCCAAATATTTTTGTCATTCAACAATCATTTTTTTTTTTTAAAAGATTGCACTATTTTTTTTTTACTTCAATTACCTCACAATGGAAATACCCATACTCATCCCACGGTAGTTCATGAGAACGTGAACTTTTTCTACTTTGCAAACAATCTTAAGGAAAAATATTTGGAAATGTAAATATAAAATCTTAAATACCTGGCGTAAGTCCAATTACAAAAGCAATCAAGAAAGAAATAGTTTAAATGAATGAAGAAAAGATAAACAAGATGAAAATAGAATAACACTAAATTACTTCAAGATATTTTAATACGTCCGTGATATTGATATTGATATTCAATGATACTGAAATAAAGTCAAGATGAATGAAAAGGTATTGAAGTCTAAATAGTAGTCATTATGATCTTCATTTTACAGATTACATTTACAAACGATTACAACTACAACACAAACGTTGTTGTCCAAAAAAAAAATACTACTAATAATGATAATTCTCACTTTCTTGTTCAATACAAAAGTTGATAAATAGAAAACGTTATCATTTATGTCAGTTTTGAATAATTTTGATATTCCAAACAACCAAAATGAATTTGAATTACCATATCTATATTGGATTCCGAAACTTCATAAAAATCCTTACAAAGATACATAGCGGGTTCCAGTAAATGTTCAACCAAGCCTCTTTCTTTACTCCTCACTAAGATATTAACAGTAGTGAAGGAGAAACTTCAAGAGTACTGTGCAACAATATATTCGAGAAGTGGTGTAAATCAGATGTGGATACTTAAAAATTCCAAGGAACTTTTGGAAAATTTGAAATCACAAGAATTTACCAGAATCAACAGCTTAAAAATTAACGACTTTTCAACTTTATACACAACCATTCCCCACGATTTATTAAAGTCCAGGCTTTTTGATATCATTGACAGCTGCTTTTTCAATAAAAATGGAACTCGTAAATTTACTTACCTTGTCATTGGTCATTTGCAAAATAATTTGTTAAAAAACATTCTGATTGTACACACAAGGACTCTGAAGTTGACATTAAAAAGATGCTTGTTATTAGCAGACCTTTTTTTTTGTATTCATATGAAGCAGAATTTGTCCAAACTCTTTTACGTGAAAAGAAGAAAACACTTGCTGTGGCCTTCAACTCCACATTTAGATATATCGACGACGTATTGTCAATTAACAATGGTTATTTCCATTCTTATGTAGATATGATATATCTCGGTGAGCTTGAGATAAAAGATACCACAGAGTCTGACACATCTGTTTCATATTTGGATATTTTACTTGTAAAAGACGTTAATGGTAATCTAACAACTAAGCTTTATGATAAACGTGATGACTTTAACTTTTCGATCGTCAACTTCCCTTATTTTTGCAGCAATATACCTTCATCACCTGCATACGAGGTTTATATCTCTCAGTTGATTCGATACGCAAGAGCATGCTCTACGTATGTACAATTTCTGAAACGAGGTAAATTATTGACAAACAAGTTGATGAAACAAGAATATCAGCAGTCTCGTTTAAAGTCATCATTTCGTAAATTCTATGGTCGATACAATGACCTTGTCAGCAAATACAATTTATCTTTCAGTCAAATGCTGACTGACGTTTTTTCATACTAATTGTTAGGCCATTATTTACACACTGAATTGTCGACGGATTTTCCCGTTATTTCCCGATCAAGCCAAGAAGCACACGGCGGGTGTGACCGGTCGGCAGGGGATGCTCATTCCTCCATGGCACCTGATCCCACCTCTGATGTTTTGGAGGTCTGTGTTTGACACGAATGTCCCGCTTACACGCATTTTTTTTAAATGAATACGAAAATACTTAAGGGTGGAAATGAAACAAGAGGCCCAAGGGCCTTAACTGTCACCTGAGGAAATACAACAATTAAGAGGATCCATAGAGTATAAAATAAACTGATAGATGAAGTTTTGTTGCCCAAACGCAAGAGAAATAGGATGATCATGATCAACGAAATAATTAGTCCAGTATTTAGTAACATCTAATAAATTAAGTTCTAATCTGTCCCCATTTATTACTATCGCCATGCAGACTACTAAAAAAATGTTAGTGTTTCTGTACTATTTTAAACCCAATATCATAACCTCTAACATTAGCCTCTCTTGGTCTTCGAAGAACAATTACATTGTAATAAGATAAATTATCTACCAGATCATAACTATAAAAGTACTTTTTGTATTATACAATAAAATTTCTTGCATAATTCACTTATTCTATTAACCTTTCAATTACATTACTTACAGTGATTAATTATCAAAAGTGAATGGCAAAAGGGAATAACTTCTCTCAGTAGAATAAAAATTAGTAGAACCCTGGGCAGGATTGGATACTTGACCAAATGGTCCAGATGTTCAAAAAAAGTTGGTAGAAATACCCTTGCTTATAAGAACTTTTACACTGCTTGCCTCCGATATACCTAGGAACAGAGAAGATATTCAAAGAAATAATGCTTCTTCACTACAGATTCAACATAGTCCTACCCTAACACCATAATCCATGACCCAGGGTCATGAAATTCACAAATTTGGAAGATGTACCCTCATCATCATAACTATGTACTTGAAGATTTTCAAAGAATTAACACCGTATTCACTATTTTATCAACAGAGCCCCCAACCCCAAAAGAAAAACACCAGAACCCCTGACCTGGGACCACAAAAATTTTGTAAGAAGCACCCTTGCTCATCATAACTATGTACTTTGTGTATCTGCACAATACCAAGGATTATTTAACTGAATGCATTTTCACTATATTATCAATAGAGTCCCATCCTTACACCAGAACATCTGACCCAGGGGCCATGAAACTCACAATTCACAATTTTGGAAAAGGCATTCTTAATTATCATAACCACCATGCACCTACATGTAGCTTGTTTAAATGATACCAAGGAGCAGAGAAGAAGATTTTCAGAGAAGTAATGAATTCTCACTATATAATCAATAGAGTTCCATCCTAACACCAGAAACCCTGACCCAGTGCCATGAAATTCACTATTTTGGATGAAGCACACTTGTGCACCATAACTATGTAATTAGTTAGTCTGTTTAATACCCAGGAGCAAAGAAGATTTCCAAAGAATTAGTGCATTTTCATTATATAATCAATAGAGCCGCGCCCTAACAGCAGAAACCCTGACCCAGGGGCCATTTTATTTCACAACTTTGGGAGAGGCACCCTTGCTCATCATAACTATGTTCTTAGTTAGACTGATTAAAACCCAGGGGAAGAGAAAAATTTCAAAGAATTTGTGTTTTTTTTCACTATATATAATCAATAGAGCCCCGCCCTAACACCAAAACCCCTGACCCTGCGGCCATGAAATTCACCATTTTTGAAGAGGCACCCTTGCTCATCATAACTACTTACTAATAGTTAGTTTGTTTAATACCCAGGAGCGGAGAAGATTTTCAAAGAAATAATGCACTTTCACTATACGATCTATATAGCCCCGCCCTAGCACCAGAACCTCTGACCCTAGGCCATGAATTTCAAAATTTTGGTAGAGGACTTAATGCTTATTAAAATCATGACAACAGTTCGACCGCTTGATGTCCATAAATATGAGTAAAGAAGAAGATTTTTAAAGATAGCACTATTTTGATGTTTTAGCCCCACCCCTCAGGCCCGGAGGGGGGAGGGGGGCAAGGACTATGAAATTCAAAAATTGTGTTTTCCTTCACTTATATAAACCGTATGCCAAAATTGGTTGAAATTGGTTCAGCGGTTCCAGAGTGGAAACTGTAAATGTTCAAATGTTAACGGACGACGCAAATCGCACAACGCACGACGACAGCCGAAAACAGATAGCAAAAGGTCACCTGACTGACTCAGGTGACCTAACAAAAAGAAAATTAATGTCACGTTGCTACTCTTTTATTTTCTTGAATAAATCGTCAATAACATACTTTGATGCTTGAAAGTGATCAAGTACAAATACATTTTTTAAAATAAAATTTTAAAAAACTGGATGATAATAAATTATATTATTATACTTTCATGTAAATTAGTTGAATCTGATTCGTCGAAAACATTTCTTAAAAAACACTTTTACCCGCTGAATGATGAAGCCACGCCCTCCAGCATAGCAACAGTCAACATTTCTTGACGACGGGTGATATTCCAAAAAAAAGTGACTGCGCTGAATTTATGCGCGCAAGGTTCAATGTTATATGTATTTGTATAAAACATTCAGTATAATATAATAAATACAGCATGTAGTTGAGTGTAACATTGAAAATTTTCACCCTTCGAAAACCATTGTCAACCTCGGCTGCGCCTCGATTGACAATGGTTTTCTTGGGGAGAAAATTTTCAATGTTACAATCAACTATATGCAATATTTATATAAAATACAGGCTAAAGGTAATATCTTTCGAGAAAGTGGGTCGATTGACATGAGACTAAAATTAGATCTGTAAATCATCAATAGAGAGACACATAACAAAACTAGGCTCATTTTCTATAAGCACTGCAAAAATCCGGAAAATGGTGGAAAATTAGAAATCTTAGAAGTATTAGGGCAATCACTTTCGTGAAACGTGTCAATCGACACGAAACTCAATCTTGATCTATATAAAGACAAATACCAAAACTCAGTTCATTATCTACGAGCACAACGAAAATAATTCTGGAAAACTATGAAAACTAGAAGTGCACGTTTCCAATTCAAGTCTGATGGAATAACTTTCGTGAATTTAAAATTAGTGGGTCAATCAAACTGAAACCCGAACTTGCTCTGTTAGTCACCAACATAAACATATATGCCATAAATCGGCTCATTATCTAACAGCACAGTAAAAACAAAGTTCGGAAAACTATGACAGAATGACGGACGGAAAGG